TCGGGCCGTCCTGCTCCGAGCAAGTGGCAATGATCTTGCTCTGGACCGCGTTATGATCCAAGCCGATGTATTCACCGTGGTAGAGCGTGTCCTCGTGCCTCGCGCCTGCCACGTGGGACCCTCGTAGGCAGTGCTCATCCGGGATGCGTCTGCCGGCCAGGTTGAGCCGGCTCAACTTCCGCTGCGGCCGCTTGTTGCGGTCGAGGAAACCTTGCACAGGCTGCCGATAGTCGCGATCTCGTGTCCTCTCGCTCGGGCTGAGGTGCCGGAGCTGCTCCCGGTGGAAGCCCAGGAAGACCCTGGCCGACTGGCCAGCTGCCTTGGAGCGAGCAGCGATCTCCTTCGCGCTGGTCATTCGCTTCTTGCAGCTGCCCCGGGCCTCTTCGTAGTCTGAATCATCGACGTTGCGTCTTGTTCCGTTTGAGACTATTTTCTCCAATTCCGGTGATGGCGATTTTGTTGGGATGGGGGAGTCGCGGGGAGTAGGGACAGTTGATGACGAACAAGTCGAGTCGCGGAGTGCCTCACGGACGCTGACGCGACGCAGAGAGCCTTGAGGCCTACAGCCGTGAGATCCTTGTCTGCCGCTTGCAGAGAGCTGAGGGGTCGCAAGGTCTGGGGAGAGTCGGTGCGGTGATGAGTCCACGTTCGAGGGTGACACTGAATCCTGCTTCGACGCAACTCCAAACTCAGTAGAGGTTTCACAAGGGGTCCTGTCGTCTTCTGACTCCGTAAGCGGGGTCAGATCGACCACAATAGGTTTCTCAAGGATGCAGTGGCCCCAGCGGCGAGTCTCGGGTGCCCATGTCCGGAGGTACTGGTATTCGTTGCGGTTGACAATCATGTCCTCGAATGTCCACTCCCAGACCTCGGGATCAACCAGGCCGATCCTGTTAGTGAGATGATCAATTGCCTCCTGGACCTGGGCAGATGTGTAGGGCAGGCCATGTGCCGAGCTGCCAGCCTCCTCGACACGTCCCGTGTCGGTCATGTACTGCCCATAGCGGACAGCCCTGCTGAAGTCCTCCTGCGATGGCGCACGACGGCTGATGTGCGCGAAGCCGATCGCGTCGAAGGGGGTCCAAGGCTTTCTCCATTCAGGGAACGTGCTGGTGACGGCCATGTTAGTGGGCTCTGAATGCGATGGTTGATTTTGGATCGGTCCCGTGCTCTAACTGTATCAATGAGTGATTCTGGTGCTTCGAGTCTACACCTAGGAATGGCCCGGGGCAGCGTACAATAGTGCCGCTGTTGTAGGTGGAGACAGTGGCGTGAGTTGGGAGTAGTACGCACTCCTTTTTCACATTCCCAACACGAAAACCTTGGAGCCGACCTTACGCACAATTTGTCAAGACCGACGTCTGGATGCCCTATGTCCGCCGGGGCCCATTTGCCCTGACCAGGCTACGGGCCGGAACAACAGAGGACGCTGAAGCGCTCGATTGCTTTTCCGCGCCTGAGTGTCGTTATGAAAGGAGCCGTTCCCACCAGGCGCCACCCCAGGGACATGCAGCCGGCCGAGGATTCCTGTGTGAATATTGGTTGTGCACCTGCACGGCAAGGGCAAACAGGTCACATCTCGTTGGGCTCGGGGGCCTGATGTCTGCGGCGCATCTGCAGCCAAGGCACGTATGACTTGTTTGCTTGTCTATTTGTTTGTCTGTCTGCCCGTCACCTCCTGCACGTCTCATGCACGCCCCCTGCCAGGGTCCCGATGTGACAAGGTCAGTGCCGCTTCCTTGGCCTCGGGCTCCGGTTGGGGTTGTGCTCGGGTTCCCTGCATTGATCCTACAGTAGGGTACCAATACATCATGATTCATTTGCAACATAAAACAGTCAGCTGACTGCCAGGACGACGCTCCCAATGCTATTCCCCTTGTTGTCTACCCTCTGCAGCCGTCCAACCAGGTTTGATATCAGACCAGAGCTGCTCCTGTGCACACTGTCTGTGCCATGAGGTTCCTTATTGGCCATCTGCTCCGTCCTCGGTGCTTTCCTCCACGCATGATGTAACGCGGTCGAGCTTGGTCAAAGTCGCAGGAGGTGCTGTGCGGTGTCGCTCACTGAGGGCCAGGACGACGCGCCGCGAACGACGCCGGCGTCGGCACCCAGGTCGGATTCCTGTGGGCGGTGTTGGTGATGCTGAGAGCGTCAAGGATCTTGATGTGAACCTGCCGCTCGTCCAGGCCGACAAAGTCGCCGCAGTACTCCGTCTCGTGGTGGTGGGAGGTCGAGATACGCGGCAGCAGGTACCTCTTGGCAATGCGCTTCCCCCGGAGGTTTCTGTTGTGGGGCCGGCGCGGCATGCGGCCACTGTCGTCGAGGAACCCGTACACGGGCTGGCGGGCATCGTCTCTGGGCGTGCTGGAGGGTCCTGCACGGAGGAGCTGCTCGCGGTGGAAGCCCAGAAAGACGCGGTGTTGGCGGTGGTCGTTCGCGGGTGCCAGGTCCAGGATGGTGGTGGAGAACGCTGTCGGCGATGAGAATGACATCGAGTAGGCGCCAGACGGGCGCTCGGCGATATCGCTGTCGTGGCCGTCCTGGGAAGTCGAGGCCTGGCCGTCTGACATGGGGACGTCGTCGTCTCTCGCGTGCTCCTGCGGGCTGGGAGAGCTGTTGGAACGTTTGAACAAATTGCTAGACGTAGCAGGCGTCGGGTTGAAAGACTGAGAGGTGACTGCCTGGCGAGCGGCCGTGGGGCGAACCGGGGAGAATCCGACAGTGCTCGCCGTGCTCAGGTCGACGGTGACGGAGTCTTGAGAAGACATTTGGTCCAGTCGGAGAACTCGGGCTTCCACTTCCGCGTGTAACAAAAATTGCGGCCGGCGATGAATTCGTTGTACGCGGCAGCCCATTTCTCCGGGTCGATCATACCCGTGGCGTCGGTGAGGGCGTGGGCAGCCTGGTCTACCTCGCCATGGCTGTACGGAATGAGACATCTTTCTGCGTGTGGAAGCAACTTCATGCGCTCTGGCTCAGTGATCGACTTGGCCCTGGCCACGATGGTGTCGAAGACTTCCTGTGACGGAGGGGTGATGCTGATGTGGCGAGACGGGACGCCGATGGTGTCGAAAGGGTTTCCGTCCCCTTTCCAGTCGGCGGCTGTGGAGGAGGCCATGGCTTCACCGGGAATCTTGCTTTTGAATGGGGTGGGAGGATGGGTAGTTCTCCGGAAGCCAAACTTCTGGAGACCCTGGGCGTTGTTGGCTTGTGTTGTGGAGGAGGCCGGGATGCGAGCGCAGGAGCGATATAAATAATTGGCGAGGCTTTATCGCGTCCACTCTGTTGACGCGGACGCGCAGATTCGCGTCTTGCTCGGAGAACAATACTGCTACAACTCTCTTTAGAGGCGTATGTCTGCCTGAGGAACCTCAAAATGGCGGGCCCTTGTCGCTGTGGTTACTGTGCCAGGCGTGGCGGGGACTCTGAACGAATGCGCAACATGCCCGAGGAGGCGAAATGAGGTACCCATCCGATCTGCCGTACGTCAGGCAGCACTTTGTTGCAATCCCATGTCAGCCATGCTGGGGCCAGATCTCGAGCCACAGGACTCAAAACGACCGCCAACAGCAGACGAGGGAGAGCCGGGTCGTATCAAGACTTGTTGCATATACACGAGTTGTATCATGTTTTCGTCAGGATTTCTGTACAACTAGTTGCCATACCCCGGTCGTCTAGTACGGTAATCCAAAATATTAATGTGGCAGGGAGGCTCCTGTGAAATTTTATATCGCTTTGCTCAGCATCGTGACAAGAGGCCTAGGAAGTGAATGGCAAGGTGTTTCCACGTCACAGGAGCCAGCTCTTACGCGGCACAGGCTCTTTGCCAACAAACGATGGCGCTCGTAAGACGGAGTTGGGACGATACAACGTTCAATCTCGGCCACCTCTTGCTGTCTTTTAGCCAGCCGCGGCGTGCATCGTATGTGCAACTCAGGCTAATTTATGCCTTTTTTTCCAATGAGCTGTGGTTTGCCAAAATACTACAACGTTGCAGTTCCCCTTTCTCCCACATCGTTACCTCCTCGCTCGCCCTGATTGCAGTCCCACCTGGCCTAGTCTCTTCTCATGCTTTTGCGGCCCACCGCTCAATATTTTTTCATGATAGAGAGAGACAACCGAGCATGACGCCGTAGCCTATCTTGATCTTGTTTGAGATCGAAAGGGTTTCGCCCTGCTGGAATACCTAAAGGTACGTTGCCCATGGCCTACCATTGTAGGCTTCGCACTCGGCTCAAACTATATTTTCACTGGTTGGCTGATTCGAGCCAAGCCTTCCTGATCGAGTCGTTGGTCGAAAGGCTCGTCCCAAGCTGGGGTGGCGTTGCTCGTCATCCTGCTCCGATTGCTATTGGTTGTTTGCAGTGTAGGAGATGATGACTTGTGGTGGTCTGAGAGAAGCAGGTGGTCAGAAGAACGCGTGAGTGTGGACGACTTTGTGGACATGGGAGGTGCCAGAGCAAGTAGATGGAGGCTTTGCTGCCTGGCATGGTCTCAAAGGAACCTTGTTTCTGGGAGTGTTGAAACTCCGAGTTCAAGAGATTTGGTGGTGCCTATGGCATGTTCCGGCTGCCTCGTCCTTCAAGCGCATGAAGGCAGCAACAAGACAAAACGATCACACGCACAACTGGAGTTGAGTTTTCCTAGCATACAGTACCACGGCATGATTACTCGCGTGTCGCGTGTTGCAAAGCATCGACTGAGACAGGGTACCAAGCAGTGTTTAGTGAGCCGAGTAACATCACATTCATGGCGACCTCGCACTACTTGATTCCCATAGAATTACTTGGACGAAGACTTGATAGTGGGACTACTATTCCGTTCGTTGGGATCGACAGCTGGCAGCGGATTGGACCATCCTAAGCTACGTAAGGAGCGTGTACTCGTTGGTAGATAGTTGTGAGCAGTTACTACAACAGACTCACTACGCACCACACGCGGAGGTTAATGGTTAGGATATATGGATAATTAGCTTCCCGCATCTCCACAAATCATGACTCGCCTCTATGGCACAGGGGTAATGCGTGAGTTTATCCTCGAAATGTCCCATCTCACCGAGCCCACAGCTAACATGCAACCATCCTGGAGGTCGCACTCGTAATTATGTAATCTCTTACACATACGATGCCTATGCGAAGATCCGCGGTTCGATTCCGCGTGGAGGCAGTTCTACTTTTTGCAGTCTGCGTGGTCATGTTAGGCCACCCGAAGACGTTTGGCTAGCGGGCGAGCTTACTTTTTGTTGGTTCACCTATGGGCGGGGGTGTGGCCGAGACTAGGCTTCCGTTGCTAAATCAAAGTAATCTTAGATATAGGCCCATGCTACGCCGCACAACGATGTGAATTCAAGTCCTGTTCTTATAGGAGTTACGTTACTTAACTTAAAGAGGACTTATAGGAGTGCTCTATTGTCTATGTCGCTGTGCTCTATTTGCTTGCGGAATGCGGAGCACAGCATTAAATTAACTCTAGAAAGTTAGTGGCACGTCCTCTCCTGTGAGACAAGAAAAAAAGTTGGCTGGGCAAGGATTTCCAATCTCAGGGTCTGCGCATGACGTCATCGTGCGCTTCTGACAATACCACAGTTCATGCATGCCATAATGGCCAGGATCCTTCCCTGCTGGACGAAGAACAATGGAAAGACGCTTCCAGAAAGAGATTCGCCGAGCTCGTGTTACAACACACCATTCCCGTCCTCGGCGCGCACAAGCTGCCGTGCTCCCGACGCAGCATGCACAGAGTCACACGGGTAGCACTGGTGCGCCCACACTCGCTGACATGGGTGTGTCCTGGGCTGTCAGCCCCGTGGCTAGCACTACCTCTTGCGTTGTGCGTCCATGTCTATAGCGAGGTATTCTAGAAGAGCTACGCACCATCTGTGACAGCAGAGGGTGGTCTTCATCAGGAACAGGGAAGGGCCGAAGTCCAGGTAGATTGGGTAGCACACCACGCTGATGACGATTCTGGGCAAGCGCAAGGTACCGGCAGGGAAGCTGGTTGCTGGGCTGGGCTGGGGCCTGTGCCACCACACACACCCAAGCTTGGGGAATCACATGTCACACAGGGAGACGCGAGACAACAAAGGAAGAAAAGTCCAACCCTTGACTCTCGGACTGATTCAGGGACCATCTGCCACAGTCGTATCCAATGGGAATGTGATGGAGGTACTCTCTGACAGCACAGGGCGTCACGATAAAGAGACGTAGCTGTGTACGCCCGCATTAACGATGGCACACCTCCCTGAGCCGGGGATAAGAACTTCCGACGTTTGATACAGGGCTGTACGCTTGCTGCGGAATGCATTATTCTATATACTATCTAATTACAGTGACCGCCCCAGCTCACCGGCCCGCGACAAGGCGGGTGAGCTGCGGCCGTCGGGGCATTACGTTTCAAATCTCGCGCGCGCGCGTGCGCGGGAGCTTTCGTTGTGGGCATGAAAAGTCTAATCTGGCTCCTCCCTCCCGCGCGGCAAAAACAAAAATCATCTCTTGGAAAATATCAATGCGGGAAAATCATCATGTGTCGTAGTCGTCATGTCGTTGGCGAGGTGTAATATGCTGGCGTAATCGTGTCGTGTCATGTAAGAGGACAAGGGAGATTCGTGACTGTTTTTTGTTGTTCTTTGGTTTCGGTGGTTGTTGTTTGGGTCGACGGCCCACAGCGCCAGTCAAGCCTTTACTTCCTGGCCTTGCACTTGAAGGTCTCGCCGACGGGGTCGCCGTAGAGAGCCTCGTCGGTAAAGTAGTCCTGGCCGTAGGGGACGTCGACGCATTTGCCGCCGCCGGTAGGACCGACATGGGGGCAGTGGTGCTGTTGTGCAATCTCATGGTCAGCCAGGAACCCTTCCACCGGAAACGGCAGACAGTGGGAACAAGTAGAAATAGCATACCTCAGGCCGCGCAAGAGTCAGGAAGATGTGGATGCTGCGGCAGACAATGTTGTCGCCCCACGCCTCGTTGTAGTCGCCGTACCTCCGGGCCGACAGCGTGGTCACGCACTCGTCGAACGACGGCCACTGCTGGTTTGCGCCCGTGCAGCGCTGCTGCGTCGTCGCGCAGAGCTGCTGGATGCTCCCGCCCTGCACCTGCGGGTTCGACAGCTGCAGGCCTGTCGTGCTCTGCACCCAGTTGTTCAGGTTTGGGATCCAGGCGTCGTACTTTTCGACTGCGCCGTTCTGGTCAAACTTCCAGAACGCGACCTAGACATGACGGAATGACGTTAGCGGGTTTCGTTCGTTCTTCTTTTTTCTGGGGTTCAGGGAGGGGGGACCGCCGCCTGAAATGCAGGGTCCCCTCCGTCCCCGTGGCTGTTGTCTAGTGGTTGCCTACTCACCTGCTTCAGGGGTGCGACGGGGGTGCCATGGCCCGGCTGCCCGGGGGCGTAGATGCTGCAGTACAGGTAGACCACCGAGGTGGCCACGTCGGCGCACCCGGAGCTGAACTCTGTGATCTGGAAGCCCGTGATGGCGACGTTGTTCGTAGCGGGGCCCGGGATTGGAGCGAGCGCGAAGAAGTACTCGATTGAGTCCTGGAACCCCACGAACTTGCCCACGGGGTCGATGCGTCCGGTCACGTTGGCGTTGAAGAGGCCCTTAGGCACACCGGGCCCGCCCGAGGCGATGACGGGGATCTGGTTTGGGTACACGGTCAGGTTGTAGATGCTCGATATCGTGCGCAGGTTGCGCTGCTCGTAGCACGGGCGTGCGGGTCGCGCGGAGGCTGCAGGCAGGAGGCATGCGAGCGCCGCGCATGTGAGGGTGAGGAAGCGCATTGTGAATATGTGTGATGTTGGTGTTGGTGAATCTCGCAACGATGAGTCGTATTCAAGCTTTGCAGTCGTCCTTAGCGGTGGTCGTGAATATTCGTAAAAGATGGTGCTGGTGGTACAAAATGGCGAGGCAGGCGGATGATCTAAATGCACAATGATGCAAACCCAAGAACAATGCGCTGGTCGAGAGAGAAACTGGTCGTGATAAATACAGCAAAGGCCCCCCAGGTCCTTTTCGTGATCGCTCGCTCGCTTGGTGAAAAGTAATATCAGCTGCAATTAAATGACGACGGCTGGTTGCTGTGTGCTGGGGACTGCTCGTGTGCCCGTGCTCGTGCGCCGGTGGGTTGGAGGAGCGACGGGGCTTGTCTCGACGTCAACGGACAAGGACTGAGACCTCGGGATGGCCCTGGCGTCAGGTCGTGCGGGCTGAGATTAATGGAACCGGAATGCGACCCCGAAATGGTTGTATCAGCCTTGGGGGGTAGCGGCAAGTCTAAGGTGCTCCCTAATAACGATGGAAGGCGGTCGTGATGTTTGTTGTCCGGTCCGGGAGATTGCAGTGCCAGGACGAGAAGGTCTGTGTCGGTCGGTGTCAGAGGACCGAGAAAACGGGAGAGACAAGAAAGAACTCGTAGGCGGTTCCCGGGCCCTGGGACAAGACATGATTTTTACTCGAGACCGGGATGCCTGGCAGGTAACGTACGTTGGTGACCAGCAGCAGCCTGCTGGCTGGGTTCCCCAAGGATCCGGGATCGTGGGCGGACAACGTGGCAGCCGACAGGCTCGGGCACGGCCAGCAGCAGCGACAGCAGTATCACTGTCGTCACGCCTCCACCGGAGGCAGCATCATCGCCGGCGTGCCTCGGGCCTGGTGGACTGACGTGTCGGCCCCGTATTCGGCCACCCAGCCACCCCTGGAGCGGTTTCTCTTGTGCTGTGCAGGAACCCCCGCATCGCCGTGCATATCTTCTCAGGTGAACGAGGCCAAGGGCTTGGGCTGGCTGGCGGTGCGTTGGCTAGCGCGCAGGCAGGGACTGACTGTAGGTGCATTTTGGTGCTGTCGCTGTCTTGCGCTGCGACGTTTTGCACTTTTTTTTTCCCTGGTATTCATGGGTAGCGAACCCGAATCGGGCTGTTGTTGCGGCTGATCCTGGTCGGTAACAGCGTCATCGAGCCCAGAGGCTTGGGGCTCCAGCGTGGACCCTTGGGCAGCGGTCAAGCATAATAACACGGGTACAACAGGGCCGGTGCCAAAGCCTGAAACCTTCGGCAGCTGATCCCAAGGAGGCTTCGTCATGGTTCACAAGGCGAAATTGACTTGTTTCGGTGAAGCCGAGTGAAGAGGGAGAGGCACAGCGGGCGAAGCTGAGCCCAGTCGTGCACGGAGTGCTCTGGAGGCTCAGCTTGTCTTGTGTTGACGAGGCGCCCGAGTGGCTTTGAGAAAGCTGCCAGTCCGGGTCAGGCGTGCCTGGGGCTTTGCAACCCAGCCCAGTTGGGACACGAGCGTGCATTAGGAATTCCTGCCTGCCACGCATCTGAATGTCAGCACACCGCAAGATAATACGTCATGGATGGGTGCTATGCTTGAGGGGCACAGAGTTATGCCGCTCACTCACTGCACATCGTACCCACAGGCTGTCCAGGACCACTACCCCTGACTGGTCCGACCAGGCAGGCGTCTGTTTCGTGGGGTGAGAACCAGACTTGCTGACGGCTTTCTGGGTATCCTCGTCGCCAAAGTCCATACTCCGTGACCGCCAGAACCTGCCAAGTGCCTCTCGGTACACTGCGGCGAAGCAAAGAAGCCATGGAGCATTCTGTGTCCGGCGTTGTGCGCATGTGCTGGCGGCTTGCGGTCGCTGAAGCCCAACTGGCCGGTCGCTGTCGTAGCGGCCTCAGCCCGCCGCTCTCATTGTGCCGTAGTGGTTGCCGCTGAGCTGGTCGCGTCGTCGGCGCCAACTCATCCCGTTGTGCTGTCTCGATCGGTGGTCGGGCGTCTGGCGACCAGAGACAATGCATTGTTTCAAAGGCGATTGTCTGGCAGGAAGCATCGCGCAGAGTTTTACAAAGACAATAGCCCGCAATGGCTGGTTGGGCACCGTTGACTCTTTGAACAAGTCTCGTGCCCCCGAGTGTCTCTGCTCAGGGGCAAACCTGCAACTCACCGACGATGCACTGACCTGTCCCGCGTGCATGCCATCTGCATCCTGATGCCACTGCTGAGCAGCTGACTCGTCAGGCTTGCAAGCAGGCTTCACCTCCCGCAAGCAGGACAACATAATTTCGCCAAGAACCTTCTTATCTCGAACACCAACAACCCTTCCGGCCGGCCGCGTCTCCCCTCCTCCCACTCCAAACTTCCCGCTCCCGTCGCTAGCATCGGGAGGGCTAAC